TTCAGACTTTACGTTTGAGAATTAGAATTTCCAATCAGGAGTTTTAGATTCAATTTTAATACGAAGCATCTATGGATAGATAATGAAAGGTTGCACGACGAACAAACGTAATTGTTAAGTTCGGTTTAAAACAGAAGTTTTATTTTACAACAAACAAAGTCTTTAGCTTTATTCTAATGTATAAAGCTGAAGAGTTTGTTTGTTTGTTTGAAGGCGCTTATCTCAGGAACGGGTTCGTATTGAAAAATTGTTTGTGTTGGTTAGCATTTATTGAGGAATGCTATAGAACATCGCTAAGGCTATAAAACATCGCGCTGTGACTAATAGAAGCGAAGATACAGCGGGAAATGTGAACAAAGCGGTGGAAATTTTTCATCTCTGTGGATTTCAGATGCGTACGCTGCGAAAAGACACCCAAAAAATATACATAAGAATGATTTCTCTTTATCTGAAAAAATGTCCGCGATCTACTTAAGCTCAACTTGCAAGAACGACGGGTCGCGAGTGACGGGACGCGACCGATCTAGTGGGCAGCAGCAATTTATAAAGATTTAGAGGTTTGCAAAAATAAATTTGGATGCCCAAATCAACTCTACGCGGACAAAGTCGCTGACACAGCTAGCAAAAATAACGTCTGTAGCTTTCGCGAGCATTTAAATTAAAACACTTTACAACGCAAATATCTAAGTTATTATTTTGGATTTTAACTACGGATGCTGCAATGCAACGTAGGGCCGTAGTTGAAGTAATTTGTAAATAAATTTAACTAATATTCGCTTTTAAGCCTTATATATTTAGATATTAATAACGTTTTCTACATTGATCCTGAAATCTTATACATACTTGATCACTCACTTTCATATACAGATATACTTATCCTACAGTTTATAAATGAAAGTAAAACGTAAATGAAGCAAGTGTATAACCCATAGTGTTTTAGTTATCTACGTTTTGTGTCTTGTCTAACCGAAACCCCGTTTCCCCTCTTGGGGCATGGAGCGAACACGTTTCTGTGTGCGATTCACTGATCGTGTTTATTAATAGGAAAGTAGTTGATCAGACTTCTGAGCCCTGCCTGACCAAAAAAATGTATGCTTTTCCCGGGACCACGATGCTAGGCAAAACGTTTAACCGTTTAGTTACAGAGGCAGCCACTCTAACGTCTACTAAACGATAAATCGGAAGCTGACAGTTACAGATATAAAACGAAATCCAGGTGCAAAGTGAAAAGTTAGAAATCACAACTCATAATAATCCGCTATAGACATTTGTGTTATTACTGCGTTGCAGTCCGTCATTAGCGTAATGGCTGACGGCACGCGTTCGAAATCATTCGTTGGTGAGAAGCCATCTGCTTAAAGCTAATTTGGACTTCATAAAAACGTCTTCGAAATAGTTACCCGCAGCTTTGTAAAACAGCGACATTCGAAAATTTTAATATTTTTTATATGTTATTGCACTTGACGGCACTATCTATACTTCTATATTATACTATAATATTATAAATGAGAAAGTAGCTCTGTCTGTCCAGCTTTAACGCCGAAACCAATGAATTGGTTTAAATGAAATTTGGGACACAGCTATTTTGAAGCCTGAGCTACTTTTTGCATTTATTTTCCAGACATCCAACAAATATTTCAAACCGGTGGAAATCAAACCACGCCCCGTTGATTATTAGCCCTACATTGATAATTAGACCAACAAGCCTGTCAATATGAATGTCAATTATATGTTTTATATCCACAACACAATCCTTACATTTTTACTTATAAACAAATTGACCACATCAGTACCCGTATTTAACATCACCTAACTTTATGATAACACTACTTAAATAAATAGGCAGAACAAGTTTAAATATAACGGCAAATAATATTTCCCCGCAACGCGTAAACGGTAGTAACAGAAATAAATAGTAATTAAAACAATTAATTAATTTACACCTAAGCATAGAAAAAGCAACCCAGAATGAGTTCCTCTACCGCGGTCGTAGTTACCGTAAGATCGTTTCAGAGAAGCCATCTGCAGTATCCGTTTAACATAGTATCGTTTTCTTTCGTATATTCTTATCGAACAATTTATTATATATTTCAGTAATCTTAATTCTTTCAATGATTTACAATGTCTTATAAACTATACTAATATATAAAGCTGAAGAGTTTGTTTTTTTCTTTGTTTAAGTCCGCGAATAAATTAAAAGCTACATACAATGATTTATTTTGTCTCTTTGATGGAATCAAAAACTAAAATGAGCGGAGACTACTGGAATATTTTAAATAACTATAAAATATACGTTTTTTTCTTGAAACAAAGAGAGACACAGAAAATGAAATCTCTCAGGCGCAAGTATACATTATTGATATATTTAATATCGATACTTTTTATTCTTTAGAATTAGAAGAATACATTCTCACGTGGTACCTATTGTTATTTATAATTTACAGTCGATTTCATCGAAATATATTTATGTTTTACGCATTATATCGTCGCGGGTATAAAATGGAAAAGCTGAGATCAATTACTAGACAATTCCGAACAATAATAGGCCGACACCTGCAAAGTTGCAAACAGAGATTGTGTTATGATTGTACGTACGAGCTACCCCCTCCCATACGTGGCAAAGATTAAGAAAACATTATTTATTTATCTTATTGGTTGTGACTGCACGAAAAGACAATGAAAATACTTAAAAAAAGACCAATTAAAAATCGCTAAGTAGGTATAACATAAATTACGACCAGCCTTAATGATAAGATATAGTTCTTTAAAACCTAAGGATTATAATATTATAAGACATTAAGTAATAACAATAAACGTCATAAATTTACTAAGGAGTAGTCACTCAAACAAGACGAAATTCTTTTGTTAAGAGGGAGACAATAAAAAAATATTTTTTTTATTATATCTTTATAATAACATTTTGATTCTGTCTGTAGTTTACGTGAGTAGTACACATATAAATAAAAACATAATTTATTAGTTAAACTTACAACAGCCCGACGCGGCTGCTGCGAAGCGGAAAAGTAAAAGGTTTTACAAATAAGTTTAACAAATATATATATCGGGTTTTAAACCGTTAAAGTGTTTTATTTAAATAATATCACTTCACAATTACTTCAGAACACTGAAATTTTTTTATAGGCTTAATATCTCCGTAAACACAACACAAGATCCTTTTTTAATTGTTGCCTTCGGTCTTGTTCCATTATCGTCTAATACACGAAATGTTTAAAAAGCATCCTTCGAAGACTATATTTAAGGCATTATCGCATCACGTTGATCAATACAGTTAAAATACCTTCGGTAAGTGGAGATGAACACGCGATGAATAATAAAGTGAAAGTAACGTTTATTCAAATGAATGCAAGTGCAAACCTCTCGGGTCTCAGTGGATCGGTATCAAGTGCATGATTTATTGATTCTAAAACTTTCATTGAAGTTCTGATTTCGAATTTATTACGATTACGTAGCTGAAATACCATCTAACTTTTTTATGATAGAGGGGGACAGACAAACGTGGGGTTCAATTAATGGTAGATATACAGCCTATAGCATCTAAGTAAGATGTGCTGTCGATCTATTTTGGCGATGTTCGGAAATTCACAGGCTGTAACGCGATTAAGCTTCAAGGCTTTCCATCCGTAAACGGTGGGTCGGTGGTGGTGACGCGGACGGTATTTCTATATTCCTACCACCTATTTAATATCCAGATTTCCAGATGAAGTCAATGTTTCAGAAAATCTATAAATAAAAAAAATAGAAATATAGTGGACACGGTGGGGATCGAACCCACGATCCGTTGATTATTAACTATACAATTAGACCATCGAGCCCGTTGAAAACGTACAAATAATTGTTTTTTATGTTTTTCTAATGTTCAAATCCTAAATTGGTATACAGTGACTCATAAGCAACTTTATCAGATGTTTATGTACCTATGTAAAGTTTTTCACCCACTAATAACAATGCACAAATAATGTATAATTTGTTTTTCTCTCATAAAAACTCTCTCTTGTGTGTTTTTTAAATGTTTCATATATTATTACCAATTAGTTTTCAGTATAAAGTTATTTAAATATATAACGTTCATTATAAAAAGAGCTTGTATAAACAACTAAAAACTTATACATTTTAATGTGTTTACTCGATGATTAAAATATTGCGACCTGCAATGTTACTTTTTTACTTAAAATTCGCTGCAATCGACGGCATCACACTGTGAAAGCTATGCGCATGTTTCCCATATATTCTAACTGATTAAATACAGACCGCCGAAAGATAAATGTTGCCAGTGCGCTTCAATTTTTTCCTTCAAAAATGCAAATTGCACTCGCGCTTTCTCTTTCTAATTTCATAACAATGTATGTCTGTCTCGCGTTGCAAATTCTCCGCCGCGTGGGAACGTGCCGCCGCTTTTCCTGGAACTTACGATCGCTATTCATCAAATCGTTTTCGTTCAGACAGGTCAACGTGTTACACTTTCCTGATCTGTTTTCGATAATAATTATGTTAACTATCTTGGATAAATAAATAAAGCGCAATAACGCTGATCGTAAATATAAAAACAAGTATAATATTTGGATTTAATTTTTTACATAACAATCATTTAAATGAGTGCCTACCGACGAGCTATCCTTTATAAAACCATAAGTGCATACTCAGTTACTAAAGCTGTGAAACAGAGAGAAACTAAGAAAGAAACTGCTGAGTTGAGTAGTAGACTTTAAGAAGAGGATAACCTTTTTGCGTTCTTTCTCACAACGAATGAAAAATCTTCTGAATTATTTTTTTTAAACTATCCCATGATAAACCTGACCTATTGACAAAATGATCCGGACAACACGTACGGAGATTGAAACTACACACAGATTAGATTAGCATTTCTCTTCTTTCACTCTTTCTGCACTCCCATTTAAATTTTTTCTACGTATACAGATAGTATTTCGAATATACGGGACTTAATATTTTCACTATTCTCATTATGTCTTAAAATGTTCCAGACGCGAGCAAAAGCTGGTGAACTATGGCCGACGGAGAGACCAGACGGTATGCCTGTGATACAGTCGCTAGAAGTTATGTGCGGGAAAGACCACATGGATGTACATCTAACCTTTTCTCAGCCGTTTGAAGGCATCGTGTCTTCTAAAGGTAATTAAAGCCCAAACTTATCTTATGTTTGCAAAATGTTCTATATATTTGAGGGACATTTATAAGGGGAGGGAAAGAAAATGTACTAAAATGGGCTGGCGGCCTCTTCAAAGCAAAAAGAAGACGTACGTTCAGTGGAATTAAATTTTGATTGTGAATATCAAATTCGAAGTTTAAAATCGAAACTATATTCTTAGATGTTGGCAAATTGCATATTCTAAATTTGAAAAAACTACCACAAACATATTCTAAATTAGTATTTAAAAAAGCATCCCTTCCGTTTTCTACTAAATTTACATTAGTAAGTTAAAACTAAAATCAGACTATATAATAATTCGGTGAACAAGTTTATTCGAGTTTTCATTCGTCATAAGTAAGTGAAAACTGTGTAATTAGAAGCAACAATTAGTGGCGCTCTGAATACCTTGTAGTACACCACAACCCAGACATAGTTGTAATTAGTGTAAGGTGTTCAATAGTGCTTTTAACGATAAGATTTAATTAAAGGCGTCTCTGAGCTTTTACCTTTTTATACCGAAGCGCGGGTGGTATGCACTTTGACTTATGTTTAATCATCTTAAATCAATCAACGATCAATATTCTGAGTATCAGTACTTTCCCCCATTTTTTATTAAATACTGATGTGAAAGGAACGTATAGTTTATTTATACTAACAAAAAAGTTGACATGTAAGATCTCTAGCACTTAAAAAAGAGAGTATTGACGAATATGTAAAATTATCCTCCTGGATTTCATATTTTATTCTTTAAGAATACAGTACACAACAAGCAAAAACGTAATTATTGACATATTTTTATGGTCAGTACTTTATTGTTTTTAAAAGATTAATATTACTTATGAAATTTTGAAATGAAATACTTTTAGCGTTTTAAAGCCTGAAATAATATAATTAAATAAATAATAAGATTACCAATGTAAGCACTAGCATAGTATTACTATTATATTTCGCGTTTTCACAGGTTAAAAAAGTTTTAATCTAACTACCAGCGTTAATAACTGACAATACTCGTAATTCAAAATTGGAATAGAACATATTTTGGAAGCAAGTCGGCGAATGAAAGGCGTTGTAAACTACGCGTATACCGTAAGAATAAAATGTAAGACAATATTAAAATATGGAGCATACGTTATGTGTAATGAATATAATCGTCGTAGCGTGCGTTGGAGGGCGTTAATTAACAATTAACTCGCATATAGGACCGTTAATTGCGTGAAAATATACTTTCTCTAAGTTCATTTAACCGTTTTCCTCTTAACTGTAAGTTATTTCTTGCGCGATGGTTCAATGGCTAAACTGGCCTTCTAAGACCCTAGGTTGGAATCTCAGTTAAAAATGTTAAGTAAAGTTGTATTTTTTTATAAGAATATAAACCATTGGAGAGATAAAGTAAGTCGGCAAAATGTAATGGTATTTTGGTAGACAGAATCAAAGTAAACAAGTACTCACTTAAATAAAATACTTTAATGGTTTAAAACGCGAAATATTGAAGTTAGGTCACGGGGAGACCACGGCCACTGCAAAGCATTCGAAGCATCAACTAGCTTTAACTTTAATGTTTAACTAATATTTCGCGTTTTAAACCGTTAAAGTGTTTTATTTCAATGTTTTCTATTTTCAAGTAACTAAGCAATGTAATCACCTGTTATAAAGAGTTATATTAATCGGATCGTAATAAATAATTAACGCAAGAATTTTCACGCGATATTTTATAGTAACGGCCCACCCGCGTACCGGCCTCGGGCACATCTCAACACATGTTACCATAGTATATTAATCTCGAATGCACCTTGAGAGGCAATCAGAAATATCGTGGGACCGGGTCATCTGAATCTTAAATTACGTTAAAATTACTACATAATTAAGTAAGTAGGAAGCTAAAAAAGCGAAATCCGAAAATATGTCGACAGAGCACGTAGTTGAGAAGTTATCTATACTAATTTATAAAGCTGTGGAGTTTGTTTGTTTGTTTGAACGCGCGAAATTTTTCTTTGTATGTTGGTTAGAGCAGTTATCGAGAAAAGCAATATGGGCTATAAAACATCGCAACGCGACTTGTAGGAGCGAAGAAATAGATAGTAGATATAGTTTAAATTTATAGAGTTGAACGCGAAGGTTTGAAAATGAAATTTCGATGCCCAAAATAACTATTCTACACGGACGAAGTCGCAGTCGCAGCTAGTAAGTTATATGACTGATGTATTTCACTCTTCGTCCAGTGAATCTCATGTTTGTCTATTGTCCTCTATCATAAATAATTTATGACTTTGTTTAACACACCAATTGTTTCAGGACAGCACGGTGACCCTCGTTGTGTGTACGTGCCTCCGTCCACGGGTCAAACCTACTTCTCCTTTAGAATAGCATACGCCAAGTGTGGAACCAAACCTGGTCAGTATTTTAAAATTAGAATTCTAGAGCTGTAAATTCTACCAACCCCTACCAAGTCCTCTTTCTTATAAGGCTTATGTTGCAATATATAACACTTTTTAAAATTTTAAATACAAAGATGGACCTAATATAATTTTGTTTATTTTCTAAAATTTAAAAATTGAAAAGCGAGTCGGTAGCTCAATTGGTAGAACTACAGCACGGAACGCTGACAATGCCGGTTCAAGTCCTGCCCGAGTCGAAATTTTTTTCAATTTTTTAATTATATAGTGCCTTCATGTGCAAAAAAATTGTTCAAAAATAATAAAGTTTTCAAGCGTTATTTTCTATTAAGAAAAGTAACAACTCTCTGCTAAGCTCATTTTACTTATCTACATAATTTACTGTGTGTTCTCTATTTTTTATACTATACCTAACTCCACTCATCTTAAAATAATAATATCAAACAAAAGAAAGACTATGGAATCCTTTCAACTAAATCAATTGTGCATTTGACTGAAGTTAAGTTTGAAAGGCTAGACTGGATTAATGATGGAACATTACCCAGACAATTGTGTTCTTGCTCGGGTCAGGGGTGCATTTATCAAAGCAATCTTCTATGTAGGTCCACAATCATTAAAGGGTACAGTTTCTACTTTGTCCTAGAATGAATTTCTGGAAGCCGTTACGCAGAGAACTTAGAAATTTAAGAAAAGTGCATAATAAATAATTTGATTAAATTAATTACTATCTGTAGCTATAAATAATATATATCTGTTATATGCTGTGTACCTATACTAAAGCTGAAGAGGTTTTTTTTAATCGCACTAATCTTAAGAACAAATTCTTGTTGTGTTAGTTAGAGCATTTAACGAGGATGCGGAGGAGCGATGTAATATAGCCTATATAGCGTTGACTATAAAACATCGCGCTGTGACTATTAGAGGGAAATGTGAAAAAGAACGAAGCAGTTTATGCATCTTTGAGGGCTTCCTTTGCTTGCGTGGCGAAAGCATTTTAAGATACCAAAAAATATATATATTGAAGAATTATTTTAATAGAATAGTTTAATATTAATTTGAATGCCTTTAAATAAGTAGATATAACACTTGATGGATGAATCTACACACAAAATTCAAAGTTAATAGCTGTAAGTAGAAAACAGCTTAGGTTGGCATATATCTGAATGGATTATAATTTTAAGGGCTGTGTACATCCGTACGTAGACCATGGTATTGTTTTGGCCCTAGATGTATACTTTTGATATATATTATTGAAAAAAAAAACTTTAAATTATTTTGATATTGTTAACATCTTAAAACATCTAAATAACAATAAATAAAAACACTACCTGTAAATAAATCAGTACTATAGACATATACATATATATGTCTGAATTATGCTACACATCCGGAAATGGGATTTCACTATACAGAATAGTATATCCCTCTATCTTTGACTTATGGTTAAGGACGTACGTAAGCACTATGTTCGAATAATCTTAGAGCATGTGTACCATTCCCTTTAGAGGCACTTAGTGGATAATTTATATGACAAATGAATGGAAAATGTTAGCGAAGCCACATTCCAGCGTACCGCGTAGGTTTTGAAAGATATTTAAGAACACATATCTGTCTGAATGCGTAATTTTTACAGCATAACTTTTCATATATTATGCTTCTGGTTACTGGCTATACTTCGCCATTGCCAATTCAATTAAATTCAAATCTCGAATCTCATGAAAAAATATTTTCAGTCGGATGGAATACTGAAGTTTCATCAACTAATTTTCTGTAAATAATTTCAGTCAGGAAAACAGACAAATCTCTCGTGTCTATCTCATGCCGCTCGTAGAGTGATCGAGAATTCACTTCCTTAAGGACCTATAAAAAACTAACTTAGGTACTGTTTGTACAACAAGCGAGTAATAAATAAAACACTTTTAACGGTTTAAAGCACGAAACCTACCTGTCTTTACTACTTTACGCCCTGTCTTTCGGATGAAGCAGCGAATACTACAAATATAAAAAGTATGTATTGAGGTGTATATTTCATCTTATTTGTTTAAAAATATCCTAGTACAGTTTGTTAAAACCACGCGTCTTATTTCAAAAAGTACTAAAACACGATAAATTCATTGCCAAAACATTTAATAAGCATAATTCAGGTCGTTATAAATAATTACTCTGTTAATCTTAGGTTATGAGTTTGCAAATATGCGCATGACTCCCCCATTTTTTATGATTAAGCCATTAAAAAAAAAGAAATCACTTTGAAAAGGTAATACGTTCTCATAAATGTCTCACATAAACGTTAACCTTTTCAACGGCTGTAAGAAAATAGCACTTTCTCCCATCGACATTAAAATTACACCATCACTCGCATAAACATCGAGAAAATGTTATCCGATAAACATTATTTACATTTTATAACCTAAAAGAATTTAAAGGAAAACTTGAAATTTGGACGAAAAAACGCCAGCGAGCGGTCTGCTTCGTAAGGGAAATGTACAATAATCACAAAAGGTCAGATAGCTATTACATACAAGTATTTTTACTATAGTTATGAGCTATATATATGAGATGATATAATAAAGAACGGTCCAGACATATTTCTGTACCTGTTTTTAATCATCGCTTTTATTTACTTAAAAATATGGTAGGACCTTTGCCGTATTTAGAATGTTTTTTTCCGGGATTTATCCTAGGCTAACCAAAGCTCTACGGAGCCATGAAAAGTAAAAAAAAAATGGGAAAAGTACGATGCACTAATATTGATTGTTGCTATTATTATAATATTGTAAATTAAAACCCTATGTTTTCTTAAAACAATTACTTACTGATCCTATTAACAACAAAGTAAGGAAAATAATTATTTTGTGACATTGACCCGATGTCGTTAAATTCTATCCTTAAAGTAATCAGTTCAGATATGTATTAAAGCTATAACTATTTAAACATCTATTATTCACATAACTTAGGTAATTATCGTTAATTCGTACCAATTTCGCAATAAATCGTCACTCTACGGTGCGTCGGTCTCGTTTCAACAAAGTGAGGAGTTTTTCTCGTCTCGATTCCTAGTCGTGTCCACTATGGCCAGTCTAACGGAGCGGGCCTTCTTCGAATGCTGCACACGCATTGTTTCTTGGAATCTCCACTCGCCCTACCACATAGCGCGCAAGGCACATTTTTCTGTAACGCGACTGGAAGACGCCAACCCTGAAACTGCCTCTTTAATAGGGCTGTCAAACATTCTAGAAAAAAATTACCAACACTAGATACTATTATATAGACATAATCTTTGTCGTACACCAAATCCACTCAAACTCATGAATATAATTTTGAGAAGTCATAAAAATAAAAAAATATAGTGGCGTTATTAATGTTATGAATAAAAGATAATGAAGAATTAATTTTTGTACCGGAAATTGCCTTTCTTGTACGTAGACAACCCTATTCTCCAATCCTTCACATGCGTTCTACATCAACTGCAACTTTGCACATCAACAGCTCGGTGCGGCAATGCAAAATACGTTCTAACGCCTAGGACAGAGAGTTGAAATATGACAGCTGCTATCTTGCAAGCATGATATCCTAATACATAGTGGCTTTAAATGCGCCTAAGTGTCAGAATCGCTCGAATCCGGTCAATCCGCGTTCTTCAAGTTTTTGCCCAAGTTCATCCGCGTATAGCCCTAGCAATAATAAGGATTTAAAAATTAACGCTTTTTACGCAGCATACGCACTTAGATAAATTAATACTGACTTACGCGACATAATATGCTAGTTTTACAAAATTATTGGGTAACTAACCTACTTAGAAATTCAAATCTAGTTTATCGATATTTATAGCTCTACCTTCATCAAATCGATAAGGGTAATATATAGCATCTAGAATTGAATATTATAGATCGAGTTTTAAACCGTTAAAGCGTTTTATTTAAATTTGTACTACTCGCGTAAACTACAGACAGTATTTAATTATCGATGTCACATAAACGGTATAGAAGTAATTAAAACGTGCAATTGACGAGGGTTCCGCAGATAAACTCGCTGTAAAGATATCATCTTATATTACCTATGGCCTATGCACGTACTTATGTAACAAGATTACACTAGTGACACTAATTTAACTGGAATTGATACGCATAAGTGCCATATTGAGGTGGAAATATTATAAGACCCTGTTAACGATACCTTGTTACTTTTTAATGCCTAGCGGTATGAAAGTTACCATTTTAATTGATTTTTATCGCGGGCTCTCTTATAAACCTGATACACGGTCTCGATGATGTAAGAATAACGTATGTATTAATCATGCCCCTTGTATAAAATGATTGATTGATTTATTACACTGGATACGCGAAATCTTCAATCATCTTGTTATTTGAAGGTATATTTTTAATATAAGTTAATTAATCGAATCGATTATTTAATTAGTTGATATTGAACATAAGTATTTATAAGTCACATAGAATGTTGATTCACAACCATAGACAATACCTAAAAATAAGTTAGTTCCTTCAGATTGTCCTTACCCCTTGTCTTCAACCATTTTTTCTAATTATAATCATTTGTAACATATGCTTCAGACCTCCATGGCCAGTTCTACGAGAACACAGTCGTGGTGCAGTACGACAAGGACCTGCTGGAGGTATGGGACGAGGCGAAAAGACTTCGGTGCGAGTGGTTTAACGATTACGAAAAGACTGCTTCCAAACCACCTATGGTCATCGCTGACTTGGACGTAGTACAGTTAGACTTTAGAGGTAAATATTTATCTTGTCTTGTATCCTTCAATACACAAAATATATTTTTAATTATAAGTTGATTTCCCACTTAAATTTTACAATTCTTCTCCATTATAATATTTGTTTTTGCTTGCTGTATTCGCCTATAATTGTTCTTTACAACCTATTGCATTCGCTTGTATCTTACGTTATGTATATAGATGTAAGATGTTGGTGAAACAAATAAATAAATTAATTAATATATCGTACGCGTACTTACATCATAACTTTACCATTATGTCCTAAGAAGTAACATAAAAAACTACTCGCATTAACATAAAAAAGTTTAATCATCGAGACGAAAACATTTCTATGTCCGTTTCATAAATCGGTTTAAATTAGAAGAAAGTAGTTGATCAGATTCATGTGCCCTTGCAACACCGAATAATTTATTGTTTCGCTGGTATTCAAATCCAGGACCTCTAGTGCTTAATGCAATTACCTAGTTACACGTTTATCCATTTGGCTATAGAGGTGGTCTATGGTTAAAAAAGTTTATCAGAAAATATTCGTTCAAAATGGTGGTGAAATTAGAAATGTTTATATACGAAAAATCTTTTGTAACTTTCAGGTGACAACGTAGACTGCTGGATGGAAATCCAAGCTGGAAAAGGACCATGGGCGCCTCCTGTCTCCGGAATAGTGCCTCTTGGTTCCACTCTCACGCTCGTCGTTGCGATAAACGACTATCGAGGTAAATACTTTGAATTTAGAATTATGTTAATACATAATACGTTATTATCGAACTTCACTTAAGCCGTTACGTTTTATATATATAGCTTCGTGAATTATTAGTAAATGCGTTTTCAATCATTCTGTTTGAATCCAGGGTAAAAGAAAGAATTGCTTTGCGTAGGGTCCATAAAAATCTCACCTGAAAAACGAACTCATAAAATATATTTGATACATTATTTACGTATTGAAGATTAGTTGTGCCCGCGACTTCATCCGCGTGGAATAGTTATTTTAGGCATCATACTATTTAGTTTTGCAAACGACCTCCTAAGCTTTGGAAAAGCTGTTACCCATCGTCGTCCGCGTCCCGACCTTCTTGCGAGTTAATCTTAAAAAATAGACATAAATAATTTCAAGAAGAATCATTTTTATACATAGTTTTCGCTTTCTTGAACTGTTTTCGAAGCACAAGCTGTTTGTACAATTTTTTCCTCTATTACTTCGCTCCTATTGGTCGCGGCGTGATGTTTTATAGCCTTACAGCCTTCGTAGAGTCCAACCAACAAAAATAATTTTTCAATTCGAACCAGTAGTTCCTGAGATTAGCGCGTTTAAACAAACAAACTCTTCAGCTTTATAATATTAGTATAGATGGGATGAGATTACGAATTTGAGACGATCTCTCGTCGTAAAAATAAGTACTAATATAAATGTATTAAAGTTTTATGTATCACATATCGCGGTTAATATTCACACTTGCGAAGAAATATGATAATTATAATGGCGACTAGAAATTCGTTTAACCAATGGCCAACTATGAAACTAGATAGTACCTACACACTTTCATTCCGATAACCTTCAGAAAGTTCAGATAAACCCTATGAATCTTGCGAAGTCGACCCGTGTAAGCCTTAAATATCTGCTTACTCTGTAGCAAAGACGTTCGCTTTCTTCAATGCACGCTTGGAATTTAATGCCCAACTTTCTATTATTTTTTACTAACAATTTTTAGTGTAAAAATAGCAATGTATGACTAATAATCCACGGGGTGTGGGTTCGATTCCAACTGGGTCCAACATGTTTGAAATCGCTTTATAATGTTTCTGTAACATGTTGGTAATCTGGATATTAAACGAGTCCACCAGCCACCATCGTCCACAGATGAAAAAGTCGTGATGTTTAATCGCGTTTTAGTTTCAGTCTGTGGATTTCCGAATATCCAAACCCAAAATAGGTCGACAGCGTTTAGATGCTATAGGCTGGGGTATTTTACATACCATCAAGTGACCTCCATGCTTGTGTGTCCTCCTACATCATTTAAAAATAATCTCAATCATTCGCAAGTAATAATTCAAACTCTACTTAACCCGACAAATCGCAAAGTAACATTAATGTTTGTTCTTTTTCAATTTCAACGTTTGCGGTTCCATGTGAATTACGTTGATTGACGGCAATTGTTGGTTTCTTTTTGCTTCTCAGATTCGGTAAATGATTTGACTGTCATCGGATTTCGCATTAATTGATAATGCAAATAAAATTTTAGATTTGGCCCCGCGATAAGGCGCGCTTTTGAAAATTAGTTGCCTTTTATAGCATATCAATTGATGTTCTACTTAAGTATATGTATTGATGCTGTAGCGTATGAAATTTAATTACGATTTTTTGCCACTTAGTATTAACATACAAAGCCAGGTTGGGTTTGCGAGGTTTTAGTAATCTATACTAACATTATAAAACTGAAGACTTTGTTTATTTGGTTGTTTCTACGCACTATTCTCAGGAACTGCTGGTTCAAATCGAAAAACTATGCGTTGGTAAGATCGAGTCTTTATAAAACCTGACGGCGACCAATAGAAGTAAAGAAATAGAGGGAAATGTGGAAAAAAGACGGGGGAAATTATGGGGAAAAAAGAGTTTCCGTTGCATGCGCTGCGACATCAGTTCGAGATATCCAAAAAAAATATTTATGAAAAAATGATAACTATTCCACGTGGACGAAGTCGCGGCCTCAGCTAGTCCTTTTTTGCGTGTGATATATTTCAAGTTATAATTCAGACCCCTTACCTATTTACTTGTTTTCTTTTTCGTGTATAAATTTCTTTGTGCAATAAATATTATATATGTCTGTCTGTTGATGAGTCCAGAGTTATTACATAGAACAACTCAACAGTTACCAATTGTCTATCATGTCCAACTTATGTTTTATCGTTATAAGCTGTCATGCTATCACCGCTTCTAGGAATTACTTCTAAAAGTTTCTAGTCAATTCTATCTAAATTCAATTCCCGTCAATTTATTCAAACAATAAGCATAAAAGAAGACACATTTGCGAAACCGTTCATGTTTGATTAATATCTTTCTCATTTATTACAATTCATTCTTTAGCGTCCACGTACTAAGAACCACAATCCCGTGAATCCAAAATGCACGGCAGACTATGTGGGTGTTGAACGGTGATAGTATCAAAGCTTAATTGTTGAATTAATGACGTCGTTTAGGCCTGTGAGACTTAGTTTTTTATTCAGGTTAATATTCATTAGTGATAAATTAGAAAATGAGCGATTGTTTTGTTTATACAGCTATTCGTAGAAACCGTTTTATGGTTTAATTTTGAGAGAGTTATGTTTTTTTGTCTTTATAACAATGATGTGTTAAAAAATTCAGTTATATACTTAGGCATTTATTATATTATATTGGATTCTAATTAACGATGAGAAAAAATCTAATGAGAAATATCAATGTTTACTAATAGGTGTGCAGTAATAGTTAACACAACGACCAGACAGTATTAGTCAAACTTGTTAAGTATGTCATAGGTCGTGTGAAATTATCGTGGAATGTATCGACTATGGACATATTAAATGACCACACTAGTTTATTGACACTGTACGGTAAGCGATTAACGGTTAAAAGTAAAATATCAATAGTCCTAATTTGTAAAGATAAATCTAGGTGCTTATAGTTTAATATAGCATGCCTCATTTGTAAACACATTTTAATTTTGATAATTTTATTTTGGATTCCGCAGCATTCTTTAACAAGCATTATATAAAACACAATAAGGGTGCTACGATTTTTATATACGGATTTACTTAAACTTTTCGAAGTCGAGTCGAAACGATGAAACGTAAGCCCGAAGTTCCACCAAAGTTAGAATGAATTTATAAGGTTTCGTTTTAGATTTCGATTTTTTTTCATATTGGCGCAACCAAATCTCTTGATATTTGAAAATGGAAGCTAGCTTGCTTTATCTGTACTAATGTTATAAAGCTGAAGAGTTTGTTTGAATACGCTATTCTCGAAAATTTCTCTTGAATCGCAAAATTATTTTTGTCTTATATAGAGCATTTATAGAGGAAGGTTTTATATATATATATATATATCTATAAAACAATAGGATGACCAAAAAGAGCGAGGAAACAGAGGGAAATGTGGTAAAAGAAGAACATTATTCATTTTTGAGGAGTTCCTTTGCGTGCGCTGCGAAAACTCTTCAAAATACTCAACAAACATGTATGAAAGAACGATTCCTCTTCAAAGTATTTAAAAACTATTCGCAACAGTATGTCTCTTAAGATTAACTCAATCAAATATTATATGTTAGACTTGTGTCAACAGAATCATGTAACGAAATAATGTTTGCCGGATCAGCTAGTAGTAGATAACTTGACTTATAAAATCATAAGTTTATAAAATTCGCAATTCTTTCTTCTGAATATAATCCCGCAATGTTTAGATAATAAATCACAAGCATTTCACGTAGATAATAGGAAGTGCAGAATGGCATAAAGACAGACAATGTAGCGAGACAGCCGAGTACCAGTTCGCGACAGGTCGGTCGTAAAAGCGTTTCAAACTGGTAATAATAGTGTGCAAACACACGTTAACGGTACAAAGAATAGTAAAAAGTTAACTGGACAAATACGTATGGGTTTGCTTAACGGCTCTTCGTAGTGAGGTAGCTTATACGATTAGGTGATATTTATAAAGGTAAGCGTTATTAATGCGTTATGATATATGAATCTATATCTATATGATATATTTGTATATAAAGCTGAAGAGTTTGTTTGAACGCGTTAATCTTAGGAACTACTGGTTCGAATTGAAAATATATATAAAATAAAATTATGTATCAAAGAATAATTTATTTTTAAATGATATAAAAAATGTCCGCGACGCTATATGTTGCAAGAACGTTGAGACGTGGACCACCTGACGTCGTGGAACAGGAGGTTTGCAAAAACAAATTTTGACAACTAAAAGAACTATTCTACGCGAACGAAGTCGCTGACACGGCTAGAACGTAATAAATGTGTAATAAAAGTATGATAACATTATTAGTTCTACTTGAAACATATTAAGGCAACTTTCGCTAAGTGTTCTCTTTGTAAAGTAAACATATAAAGAAATAAGTATTGTCTATTGTTTACGATAGTAGGACACATTTAAATAAAACATTTTTATCGCTTTAAAACCGCTCCCTCATAACCACGACTGCTACAAAGCATCCGCAGGCCGTAGTTAAATTAAAAGCTAAGTTAATCTATATTCTTGACGTTTTAAACCGTTAAGTGTTTTATATAAATATACTTATGCTGCAAATATATCTGCAGTCCTTCGCATCAGTGTAGTCAAACTTAAATTACAGTTTACGTGATTGATCAATTTTTAACACAATTCTTACAAAGATATAACAAGACGCGCTTAGACCATAACTTAGGAATCAGTGCTACTATAAAGATCTTTAGATTTATTAAATTAACTCACTTGATGTACGCAACCTTTGCTCGTTCTTCGATTCTGGACAGCACATTTACCCAATTAACGAACGAAAGTTCAAACAAACCGCACATGAAAGGCACCGAACACCATAGTGACTTGCATTGCCCTTGTTGACCAAATACCGTCCAAATAAAACAATGCGCTAGAAAGAGTCTACCGATATCGTCGTGGTTCTCACAGCTCAATTATATGATCTGCGTGATTGATTTGAAAGCAAACGAGCGTGAGAATCTTGAGGCAAATTAAGATTAATTATTAACTAGTAACGAACTATTCTTCATTGGTTTTGGTTCATTAGGCGTTGTTAAGACATTTCACTTGGCCTAATAATAAAAAGGATATTTGTGATGTCGTGTCTGTGTTTGTGTCATAGGCTAAAGGATTATAATATTATCACGTTGCTATTTAAATAAAACCCTGCTAACAGTTTAAAACTCGAATTGATCAGTGGTTTCACGGTCGAGTCGTTGTTAAAATAATCTACCTATCATATTTCTCTATAATAATAATTTTTATTATATGCCTGGAGGGTGGCGATACATTATATAATTTTATTTACACATTACAATGTCTTGCTCTAATAATAGCGATGTATGAATAATAATTAACCGGTCTTAGGTTCGACCCCCATCGGATGAAACATGTCTCATTAATTTATAATTTTCCTGAAACATGTTGGACTTTACTTGGAAATCTGGCTATTAATGGGTGGTAACTGGTAGGAATATCCAAAATTCCGTCCGGGTCACGAACAACCGTCTATCGTGGAAAAAGTTGTAAAGTTAAATCGCGTTTTCCGTAGACTTGTTAAGGTTTTAAAATGCTGTGGTATATTACCTCCCAGACAAGCATAGGATAGCTCAAATGATTGTCTGCCCTCCTCTATCATTTTTTTTTATTACTCACAAAACTACATATGTGTGTGCGTGTGTGTGTGGATAATAAGGTGTTTTACTACTTAGCATTTGATTCAATGCCTAAGCATCGTTTGTTTTGTTTAATGCATTATTTGTTCGTGGCATAGTTACCTGGTGGTAGGGAATGCGGTTTGTGCATACCATTCTAATCATTTTCACTTAACTTCAACAGCTAAACTAACTTTATTATCTCTTAGTAATAAAATAAACATGCATTAACTATTGCCTGGTTAAGAATTTATGTTTCCGAGAGTGTTATTCTCTATCATTGAAATTATATTGCTTCGTAATAAGATTTCCAATACAAAAAACAAATCACTGTCAATTAATTTGAAATGTATCCTACCTGGCACATCTCATTTTCTCTTAACTTTAGGTTGCCTGGAAGAGATCGCTTGTTATCGACAAGGCCGCTCATTGAACTCCAGTCTAGTTTATAAGTTATCATTCTGTATCATGATTATTTTTTGTGCAATAAAGAATAAATAAATAAACGATCACACATAGTAGTAGTATAATCATAAATCCAAAAATATGTCATTTTTTATATAATATAAGGATTTCAATAAGATATAAAATTTCGTTACAGGTGAATTCGATATGCGAGTCAAATCATGCGCAGCCTCAGATGGTTCCGGTCATTTAATACAACTGTCAGATGAATACGGCTGCGTTTTACGACCGAAAATGATATCAAGGTAATATTATCTTAATTATAAATTGTATGAAGATATATTTACGATATTATAATATGGTGACGTGCCAATTGCTGTCATTTTTACTCTAAAGGGTTTTTAATTAGGATACTAAAAGATTCTTCGTTTTTAAGATATTTTTTAAAAAGTTGATTTGATTGATTACCAATTGAACTGCCGAATACCGTTACAGCAACCGTTGAAATGTTATCGCCGTGGCTTCAAGTCTTGATACTTTGACGGTTTAAAACTCGAAAATATACTAGTTAAACTTGTTAACAAATTAATTTTCACTACGGCCCGACGTTCCGGATGATTTGCAGCACCCATGTTCTTTCACGGTTTATTCCGTTAAAGCGTTTTATTTAAATGTATATTTCCTCGCGTAAACTACACACAGTATCTGTCAATTTACAGTTATCAAGTTTTTAAGAGAAACCTTGACGAGGGTCACTTTTGGTCTTTTTCCTTTTAGGTTCTTAAAAGCAAAGGCTGTAGACGAAAGAGCAACGGTGATAACCTATGCTTTCTTCCACGCGTTTAAATTCCCCGATGCGTTGAGTGTCCACATTCGTTGCAAAGTGGAGATCTGTCGACACGGATGCTTAGATCACTGTCAACTGGCTGGCATCGCTCCGGAGCCTCATGGAGCTCTGGACCGCAAGGATGAGAGGACTCAGGCTGACCATAATGATATAAAGTAAGTCGCGTATGATATCATTGGTTAATAACCTTAAACAAAAAATCTTAATCTCTTCTACATAAGATATACTTTAATTTAACATACAGCAAAATATATCAATTTAATTAAATTTCAAAAATATTCTCTACTCTTACTTAGAATATACTAATATTATAAAGCTCAAAAATTTGTTTGTTTGAATGGACTAATCTCAGGAACGACTGGTTCGAATTCAAAAAATATTTTTTGTTTGATTGACCAATTATCTAGGAAGGCTTTAGGTTATGAGACATCACGCTACAAATAGGAATGAAGAAACAGTGGGAAATGTAGAAAAAACTACCCCAAGGGTTCAAGATACTTAAAAAAACATGCAAAAGAGTGATTTTTATGATATAGGAGGACAGACTTGATGGTATGTGGTATGTACGGGACGTACCCAGAGTACCCAGCCTAATCAAGATGCGATCTATTTTTTTATTCTACCCGGATAAAATCACCGGCACAGCTAATTACTATATATTACTCTCATTATTAAACTATATAAATATTTGGACTTATAAATACAACTATTTTTGAATCTCGATCTCTCAAACCAATTTTTTTTCTTTTACAGCGACTTAACTTCCGATGACACTGATTTGAGTCTTGCTGAGGATCATCAGCGACTTCCACTGGAGGAAGCTTTCGGTGATGAAGTGTCCGGTGATGCAGTCCCAGCGCCAGCGCCACTACCCCAGCGCGCTCCTGCACCAGTCGTAGAAGCTGATACCGATCATATGTCTGCTGTTGAAGAACTAGTAGAGGCTCTAGCTCGGCCTTTCACGGTACGTTACTTTAAGTCATAGTCTTATATATATTCATCGTAGCAATGTACGGAACCTTGTCTAGAAATCTGCATTAAATTGAATGTAGGGAGGTAGAAATATCGAAATTCTGCCCGTGTCACAAACCACCGTCGAGAGATGAAAAAGCCGCGAGGTTTAATCACGTTTCGACTTCAGTCTAGTGGACTTCCGAATATACAAAGCCAAAATAGATCGATAGCGCATCTTATTTGGATGCTATAGGGTGGGGTAAATACCCCTATCATCAATTGATTCCCATCCTTGTCTGTCTCCTTTATTAATAAAAAAAAAAATTCTATCACAATCGAAACAAAATAAAAATTACTATCACGTTCAAAGGACACATTCAATAAACATGTATCATTTTTTAGGATCGTCCATCCGATCTTGGAGAACGCGAGCGCTTCCCACATGGGCCACGAAACTTTGGTGATCTCAAACCGAACGAAGCTGTGGTACCTGCCCAGAAGCCTGGGCCGGCTGTTGCTGGACCGCGTTCGTTGCGCAGGCGACGAACTGTTCGAGATGCACGATCCGCAGACGTGGGTGTCTCTGGCCTGTACGATGTTGTTTCGGAAGCGGATCTTGCGTTCGGTCCTTCGAGGGAACCAGTTACTGTGTTCAGCGGAAGAATTCGAGAGGAGGTATGCTTTTAACTTTGAAATTCAAATCACAACATCTTAAGGATTTTTGTTTCAAATCCGAGACTGAATATATTAGATAGATTGGTGATAAAATAAATGTCTCAATGTAGTATATTTTTAATCTAGTTTATAAAATTTTAATATTTTTAGCATTATACAACTCGTTTACGCGAGTAGTACACATTTATATAAAACACACTAAAACGCGATATATTTAAATACTGTCTATAGTTTACGCGAGTAGTACACATGTAAATAAAACACTTTAACGGTTTAAAACGCGATATATTAGTTAAACTTATACGGGGAGACACGTGACCACGGCTGCTGCAAAGCATCCGAAACGTCGGGCCGAAGTTAAAAATCATTTTCAAATAAGTTTAACTAATATATCGCGTTTTAAACCGTTAAAGTGTTTTATTTAAACGCGATATATTTGTTAAATTTTAACTAATATATTGCGTTTTAAACCGTTAAAGTGTTTTATTTAAATTATACAACTTATTATATATTGAAAAATATGATGTATTGAAAAAAATCGGCGATGACGTGTAAGACACAGTAGCTCATTTGTTTAGAGCAACAGTACGGAACGCTGAGGATGTCATCTCCTGCCCGTGTCATTATGTTTTTTCAATTTACAATCAATGAATTTAATCTAGTTCATATCCAGTAACAGGAACACGACGAATAATTATATTTAATAATCAAATCAAATCAAAAATCATTTATTCATGTAGGTAGCTTAGTACACTTATGAACGTCAAAACAGGTAAAAACTTAAGACTCTAAATTTACAGTTACTACCAGTTCCCAAGTTAGGGCGTAGAACGAACGAGAAGAACTGGCAAGAAACTCGCCGCCACTCCTTTTAACTGCCAAGTTTTTATTACATTTCCTTATAGTCCTTACGCACTCATTGTGTACATTTCTTCCTTGATAGAGCGGGTTCCTCCATAGCCCAAGCATTTTTATCATTTAAATATTCATTTACGTTATAATAACCCTTTCCAAGTAGTTTTTTAATTTTTCTTTATTTTTAATGTTTCTTCTATTAGCAAATCCATTATGTACTATGACCGTAATGTTTGTAATTCTCTTTTCAGGTTGTTTATGGTATTTGTATGGGTGCTATGAGCTTCGGGGCACTATTTGCATCAGCTGCGGGAGCAGCGGCCGGTGCGGCTTTAGCTGCAGCTGTTCTTTTACATAAGCTGCGCGCGCGCATGGCTGCACAAACGCCGATGGCGGCTGCCCCGGCATCACACTCACTCGCTGCTTGGATGGCATTACGTCTACTCGGATCACCACCTCATCATTCGCGCGAAGGATGATTCATACGCAACACTCTTAGGTTGTAATTTTGTGGCCAAAATGTTTTGTAAAGTTATCGTTAGAAAATCTCTTCTCCCACTTCTAAATGTACTTGTACGTGTATTAAAAAAAACTAATTTGATAAGGAATTAATTCTTACATTTCTTAATACATTCACCTTCATGTCATTTCGTCCTTTTGGTATTTTCTGTACTCTCTCTCGAGTCTGGACGTTTTTAAGTCTATAAAAATAGTAATTTAAAATTTTCTTTATTTAGAGATAGAAAGATTCTTGAAAATGATACAAGTATATATCAAATTGCAATATTTTTGAATAGAAAATTTATCTCAATACATCTAATCTAACTAATTTCAGTTTCACGTGCTGTCTACTGCGTCTCGTTATTGTATTTGGTACGCTTCCCTATAGATCATGAGGTCCAGTACATTTCACTCGACCCAGGATTACCCTCATGATCTCTCATGATCATGAGGGTAATCCTGGGTCGAGTAAAATGGTATTTTGTTAATTGCAATTCTTCTTAGAAAGAAATTATTATGTCGTGTCTCCATTTCTAACTTTATAATATTAAATATTTAGTTAGTACATAAAAATCCATGGTTCTACTATATAATACTGATGGTGCTAAATCGTGCTACTGACTTAGTCCTAAACTGGAACATTTCACGTTTTGTGATCGTTATAGATTAACAGCTATTCTCAATAGCCTATCCCCGCTTCACACAATTAGAATTTACACAAGAATAGGGTAGGTTATTGAAAATATCGATTATACGTAGTTTAGGTTTGTACAGAATACATTCAATATTTTTATTTGAATTCTTTTTTTATTTAGCGATAAGGATTACGTCGAGTCATGCCATTAGGTTAGGGTATTTAAATTTGTCTTATGGCCAATATTTTTTCCTTTACAAATTGTCTCTTTGCCTTAAATAAGATTCATATATAAGAATTTAGTATTTTAAACTGTTATATTTACTTGTTTATTAATATTTTCTCATTCATGTCGTAGATTTTAAGTATTGACGTTTTCTTATTGCCTGAATGTCCATTTATATTAAATTTAAATTAGTTCTATTTAGTAAATAAATGTATTTATATTATACGTATTTTAAGAAATGATTGTTGAAACACCAATGAATACAATAATAATTATATTTTAATAGTAACTTGTAATTAGTGGTTGCATTTATTCTGCATTTATTCGAGAGTTCTTGTCCTATTTTGCTCAATGTAACATTTATCTTATTTGTAGATTCGTAGATGCTACTTAGTTATTGTAATGTATTTAGAGATTAATTATATTAAGTTATTATTTTTCCAAACTCTAATGAAGAGATATTTTGTGTACCCACGTTAAAATATAACGTTTGTATCTTCACTTAAGATCTATTAAATGTCATTTTTAACCTATCGTCACAGTTGCTGCAATAAAATTATGTATTTTTGTTAATTTTTTATTTAAATTACTAAGATTTTTGCATTTACTATCAATATAAATATTTAAGTTTGTTTAAGTGAACATGTTAAGTGACTTTTTTATGGAACTAGCAAATTGTATGGATTTCAATATCGTATACAATCTTGAATCTGAATCTTCCATTTAAAAATACATCATTAAAGTTCTAGTTGCATATTTTATACTTATACATCTATTAGGTCTTGAATAAAAGATATAAATATAGTTTTATACATAATTTTATTTATGAAAGAGATACAATAAATTATTAATAAAATTGTATGTGCATATTTTTTGTTAGTATATCCCTGGTTTATATTGCGCTAGTATTTTTTAAAATTATTTGTATATAATACCCGTAGGTCATTCGTGAGGTTTACAATTATGAAAAATATCTATTCTAGTCAAAATTGACTTGTCGATTATTACACAGTTTATTTTATACAGCTGCGTTTGAGTTTTAATACTAAACTTAATTGCTGTACTTAAGGACCTACTTACGATACTTCTGAGTTTCAGATTGTAAATTGTGATCAGTTTTAGTATTCCATTAGTAGGGGTAAAGGGCCAAATGAAAAATGTTTTTCGATTATATTTTAATTCTACATTTTCTTCATGATATTGTACATTAGTCACTGATAAACAACATTAAGTAAACATTTGAAAATTCAACATCATAACATAAATCACACACAACGATGCTTACTATATTTAACGAAGAAATTAAAATAATTAAACATAGAACAGGAGGTACTGAGGTGGTTCAAATAAATGTTGTATAAAATATTAATGACTAAATAGAAGACTTAACTACAATAAATATTATTAATACTAATGACAAGTTAATTAATAATTATGCTAGCGGTTTATCTATATCTAATGTTTAACAGATTTTCCGTTGCCCCTACGTCCAAAACTATTCGACCAGAGGTAACAGAAGATTGTACTTAAGGCATATTATCATCACTACATTCGTATTTAAATGCTTTGTTTAATGTAGCAATAATTCACTTGATTCACTCTGATTCTCGATTCTCTTCGGATTTCTGTTTAAAGGTATTACTGAGTTTCTCATTAGAATCCTTAACTGATTACAGTGTTTGTACATAATATTTGTACTGTAAAAATTTCAAAAATTGACACGTGTTCTTGTAACTTTGTTTGAATTTTATTCTCAATTTAGTTCCAAACTATCACCAGAATGATAATAAACAGATTCTTATTACAATTGACGCTAAAATGTTACTACAATAATATAAACTGTACTTTTAACAATAAAAAATATGATATTTATTACATTTTAAAGATTATAAATAACATATTTAATCTTGTTGATAATAAAAATTAAACTAAGCTGGCACTTAACAAATACTTGAAGCAAACGAGAATGACATTCAACTATTAGTGGAAATTGTTTAACCAATTCAAAATTACTAGCTTTGAGTAATTTGACACTAACTTGTAAGATATAATGGCCTTCTGAATTCATCTAAAGGCAACAAGATGCGACGACATTGTATACAAATTTTAACCAATTGAGCATATTTTTAACTTTCATTTTATAATTCTTGAGCTACTTACTTCAGTCTCATCACACTAATATATACAAATGAGCAATTTTGTGCTAGGTTACGAGTAGAATCGACTTTTTGAAATAACGTGTGGTCCCGTTGCGGGGTGTGGTCGAGTTATCGTTGCGATGGGTGCAGTCTTCTTTTTCAACTTGGTAATGGGTCGTAGTTTAAAGAATAGAACCGCTGATACAGCACATGAACTTATTAGAGTAACGAGAAGAGCCCCAAGTGTCGCGGCGAAGCCAGGGGTAGTCATGCATACGAGCCCTGGTGTCGGAACTACTCTAGGTGCCGAAGATTCTTCTGAAGAATCTAAATTTAAATCTCCTGCTGAAACGACACGAATTACTCTGTTAACGCCGACTTCTTTTTCTGGAGATGTTGCCCGTCGTTGTCTCCTCACTCGTCTTTCGTCTCGCCTTACTTCCACGCCTACAGGATAAGAATCAATTTGTGGAGGCCCATATTCAGCGTGCGGAGCAATTACATTTTGCCCTTCAGAACATTGCTCGGGACATCTGTATCTGCAGATTTGTATCGTACATTGGAAATGAACTTCCATTGAGTCTGGGAATTTAAACGCTTGGAAGTGAGCATATGATAGGACGGATGCACTAGCTCCAAAGTTCTTGATTTTCGTAAACCTTGACATAAGCTTTGGCCTTGTGACACAACCCCGTCTATCAACAAGTTGAATTGGTGCACGTTGTCCATCGTGAGCGACACAATCACGTACTAACATGTCAAACTTAGCATCATCATCTTTAATGGCCAACACCATTGTCATAGTTTGTCCTATTTTAACCAAACCAGAAACCTCAGACGCCCAAGGTCCTTTACCGACTTGAATTTGCATCCAGCAACCGACATTATCGCCAGCGAAGTCAGCTCTAACAACATCGAGCATATCGACCGGAAAAGGTCTAAATGTAACTGCCTTTTCGTATTGGTCGTGCCACGTACATCTTAATTTTCTTGCTTGATCCCAAACCTCTTGCACTTGTGGGTCGTATTGAATAACAATAACGTTTTCAAAATAGGTTCCCGCTGCTGCTACATCACCTCTGTATCTCGGGTCACCACTTCCGGCTGTGCCACAAGCATGAGCTCCAATTTCGAAAGAAGCTGATGTTCTACCCAGATTCGGTGGAAGGTGAACACATTGATGATTTGAATAGTGTCCTTTAGAGAATACTATGCCAAAGAAGGGTTTATCAAAACTGAGAAACACCCGCATAGCATTTTTCTCACATTTTACATCGAGGGAAACTATTTTTGGCATATCTGGAGCAGGTGCTGGCCATACGTCTCCTGTGGTGCTGAAAACTTTATCACTCGCAGAAGTTTGAGCATCGGCTGGAGGAGCTTGTGGTGGTGGAGGTCCACGGAAACTAGATCCAATTTCATTCTTATGGTGATTTACAGCAGGTCCAAGAGCAAAGGGCTTGGAGTGAATAGGATGATGGTTCGTAATTCTTGGCATGCCTGAAATTAAGTTATATTACATGTTAGTTACGATAGAATTCATTCAAAGTATTTCGTTTATTCGTTTTTCGATTTTCCTTTTCATTACTAGTCTAGACTAATGTTTTGAAGAATTCTATTAGCGTGAATTCTATTAGCGTCTATTAGCTTGAATTCTATTAGTAGGAAACTCTAGGAAACTCTAGAGTTTCCTAGAGTTTCCTACTAATTTTCTAAAGATAACGTATATGTATGTAGATATTATTTACCTATCGGATGATGTGGCTGGTGATGAGGTGGGTTCTGTCTCCTGTTGTGAGGGGGAGGAACAGGAGGTGGCGGACCATTATATGCATGGCTCGGCGTATCCCTCTCCGAAGATTCCATCGCCAGCTGATCGCTCGAAGGCTCCACGGCGTTGTTTGAGTCGGGACTCGGATTCCCAGCTCCACCGCCATTTTCATTTGACGGTTGATCGCCCAACGTACAACTCTGGAAATAGATTATTTATTTTTAATTCTAGGTTTAAATTATATGTCAAGGTAACATTAAAATACCGAAATTTTAATTTTAATTCCAATCTTCAATAAAAACATGAATACAGATTACAATATTATGTACGTCTGCTTTCACTGTTGCGCATGGGAAATCTCTTAAAATTTTTTTCACTGATCGTTTTAACTAGCTTTGCCATGCTGATTCAATTTTTTATTCTAAAAGTTTGTTGATTATATAACAATTATTGAAAAAAACGTTTTAAATAATGTAAGCTACCTGTTAGAGTATTCATAGTTATTCTTAATCTTTTTATATCTGTGCTGTATCACAGTAAATAAATACAATAAAAGTTCGTGACTCTCGTGCCAGATATTTAAATGTTGGTGGGTACAAATTTCACCCGCAGTGAAGCTAGTATCCCTACACGATTTTATTGCGAGTTATGTGACACCGTACAAAAGCCACGACCCGCGCTGTAGCGAAATCGGACCACTCGGATTCAAATTTTCTTGGGACAAAAATAGAATCATGTTTTATGTGAAAGTTGGCATACTCTGTTTTACATTCGATTTAAATCATCACTCAACTGGTCGCTTTTAATAGATAACTCGTTTTGAGCAACGAGTTCATTCTCAATAATTAATTATCTACGTGTTTGTCTTTACGCTGAATAGTTTTCAAGTTATTCGGGTGGTCCGTAAAATTAAATCGGAACGTTTCCGATCGCCGGAACCGCTGTCTCTTTCGATATCTCGTTATAGGCGTTGAATTTCTGTGGGCCAATATAAGATCATCGATACTTTATAACTCTCATTTATTTAGCCTCGGGCCACGAAATTAGAAAGTATTGCCCGGCTAGAGTGTATGTACGGGTTGTTTTATTTCACCGATAGAAATTTATGAGTGGGCTTATAAAGGTTCCTCCTTCGTGTCTACTGTCAAGCACCGCAATTAGTTGAGATTGGAATCTGAATGGATCATATACGAAGAATTGATTCCTACAATCATTTACACGCACCTTACATAACGTTACGATGGAGGAGAAAGTTCGGAAGATACGTTTTGGGCAATTACAAATTTCTAGAAATTAATATTAAACAGGAATCTCCGAATGATTTATTAACTAAGAGATTATAATACGCTACTACTAGCTTTATCCAGGCTTGAAATATTACTTTTATCTACTTTCTTTAGAAAATTTAAAATATTATATCTATTTATTTGGTTATAAATACATCGTAATCCAAAGCGGCCGGCGCGGGCGCAGTACGTTGTAAAAATACCTATATATTTTAAATAAAAGTTATTTGGAAATTTTAACTACGGTATGACATTTTGGAGGCTTTGCAGCAACCGCCTTCATCAGCAGCAGCATTCTCCCCGTGACCACGGCTGCTATATCGCATTTTAAACCGTTAAAGTGTTTTATTGAAATGTGTACTACTTGCGCAAACTACAGATAGTATATCTTTACAACAGATATATTTGTATTGTTTTCTAGCCAGATTTAAGACGATAAAAATTCAATCGTTACGAACAAATAACGCTCGGAAACTTCTTACAGATAAGTTCCTAATTCAAAAAGAAAAAGTGAATCGAGGAAGGGCTTTATCGATTGATTGTACAGTTTCCCTATCAGCTCAATACGTAGGAACTTCGAAACCTAATGGGCTTCAAGATCCGCGTTGAACACTACGTGCTAAGGAGTGGCAAGTTCCAACACTCAAGTGCAGTGTGTCACGGCTCGGTCATTGCTCCGACCGGACTCATTTTACTTTCATTATATCGTCCGTATTGAACTGTTTAGCGTGGCTCTCTATGTCTACTATATTATCTCTATATATCCTATACTCTATATATACTTGTGATGCATATAAAAAATATTTTAAAATTAGCTCTTTGTTTTAATTAGATGTTCGAACACGGAAATACCGTTTGTTATAAGACCTTTAGAAAAATATTTACTAAAAATTGGTTTTACTTAAGTACTAATAGTACATTAAAAAACTCGTTGTGTACATTAAAAATACTACATACAATACAATACATGTATCAATACGTTGAAAAAATCCGACAAATTTTATTTCAGTTTTTGTAAAAATGTGTATTAATTATTATAAAACAGTATTAACGGTTTGAAATCGCGAAATATATTATTTAGATTTATTTAATTATACCGAAAGTAGACACAACCTAACTTTAATCCAAATTGTAATTAACACAAACATAGTCGCATAGTTTTTGGTTCTTATCGAACGTCCCAACGAATGGATACCAATATATAATCTTTTCAACAAACAGGGCTCATAAAAAGAGGGGCCAGCCAGTGGGACAATGCCTAGAATGAGCAGGATTTCAAGTTCCATGTGTGTCGTCGCTGTAGGTCGCGCGGTGACCGACGGTGGAAAGCTGGCTTTTACTCTTTACGCGACTCTCAACTATTGTCACATGTATTGATGCTAGACTCCCTTTATACCGGCTTACTACGACATAGGTAAGTATAGAAAATAAAATTTAAATGAAACACTTTAACGGTTTAGAACATATTAGTTTAACTACGGCCCGACGTTTCAGATGCTTTGCAGCAGTTAAAAGTCCTAGTAGGCAGCTCAAATCAAACCGACAGAAACCTTACGTTTTTAAACTTCAACTTGAATATCGGGGAAACAATGAATTGATTCAGTCGGGCTGAACACAGAAGTTTCATCAACTAACTTAAATAACACACTAACGGTAAAACACTAAAATATTTAAACAGTTTAAAACACGAAATATGACCGCGGCTGCTGCAAAGTATCTGAGACGTCAGGCCGTAGTTAAAAATCAATTGTAAAGAAGTTTCACTAATATATTTCGCGTTTTAAACCACAAAAGTGTTTTATTTCATTGTGTACCTACTACTCGCGTTAGCTTGAACAGTATTCAACTACTGTATAAGAACTGATCAGTCAAACGGACATAGAATTGTGTTCGGCCCATGCTCCACGGTGGGTGGGATTTGACATCTAAGTAGGTACTTAGTAAAGGAAATACTAATTACAACGTCACGCGTTGAATATGTAGCGCAGTTTTTATATTCCCGGTACATTATACATATGAGGAGTTGTTTACACTATTCTGTTACAAAGTAACCATGTTAGTGATAGCTTAAGCCAGTAAGGGCTAAACAGGTAAAAAGTGTACAGAGACGGAACTGAACACGTCCGTCAGTGGCAGTAGGTCGGTTCTCCATATTTGGTGCGATTACCTGCTGACCGTATTAGATTCGATCTCATTTTATTTCCTATGGCAGACACGCCCCATTGATCTGGTCCTATTGTTTTTACCATCTCCATTGGCAGATGCAGTTTTGTAGACATACTAATTTTGTTTACTAGAGTCTTAAGTAAAAAATTCAATGATGAAAAGACAACAGCAAAATCTTAAGAATCAACTAACTACACTTCAGGACACATGCATATGCTTGGTATGCATGCATATATCTATAATAATAATAATAATAAGATATATTCTATTCCATCTATAGTAATAGTAGTAGAGTTTATTTGTTTGATCGGCTTAATCTCAGGTTCGAATTGAACAATTTTATTGTTGGTAGAACATTTTACGAGGAAGGCTTTTAGGATACAAAACATCACCCTGCGAGCGAAGAACAGGGGGAAATGTGAAAGAAAAACGGGAAAATGTTTACTTATCTTGAGTTTACGTTAATTGCAAAAACGGTTCAAGAAACCAAAAAATATGTACGAAATAATGTTTCCGCGCAGTATATGTATGTTTTAATATTTACTTGCAATAACAACGGCACGCGATGATGTCGTGGGTAACACCTATAACTAATTTATTAAAATGAGGAGCGGGTTTGTAAAATCAAAATTCGTTGCCCAAAACTATTCTACGCGGACGAAGGCTGGCACAGCTAGTACCACTATAAAAAGAAAAGTAGTATAACTCAATTACTATATTATCCGTGGAAAGTGTAAAAAGGCGTAATTAATGTTAGAAAGATTTTTATCGCTAACAGATTAATAAAACTGCCAATGCCCATACCTCCCTAATAACTGACTTCCCATAAAAACTTCAAAGCGCGTCCAATAAATCAATCTTAATTAAAAGGTATAATTTAGCGAAATCGCATGCGACAGTCTGCCGGCGCCTAGTGATCTACCTTATACGGTCCCAGCGAGAACTTTCAACAACTGCTTTGTTGAGACATTAAACGATGTACCTATGTATATGTTGTCGACGTCTATAATATGTTTATGTTATATGTTATCAATACTTCTTTACTAATATATAAAGCTGAAGAGTTTGTTTGTTTAATAAATTGTGTAAGGCTTTCACTGCCATCGTTCAGCATATCATTGTCTTTTTGAATTGAAAAATTTATTTCTGTTTTAGTTAGAGCATTTACCGAGGAAGGGTATAAAACACCCCCTGTGACTAATACAAACGAAGATACAGCGACGAATGTGAAAAAAATTTGGCAAATTATTCATAATTATAGGTTTCTTAAACATACTCTGCAAAAGCGGTACAAGATACCAAAAAAAAAATTGTGAAATAATGATTCCTCTTTAAATGATAAAAAGAAACTCCGACTATGGCGATGCTATATGTCTATCTTTTAAGATTAACTTGCAAGAACGACGGGAAGAGAAGCGGCCGACGTCGTGGGTAACGACTTATAAAGAGAAAGAAGAGGTTTGCAAAAACGAATTAAAATGCCCAAAATAACTATTCTACGCGGACGAAGTCGCTGGCACAGCTAGTCTATGTATAAATGAATAAGTCCCATATCTGTCTAAACGGAAAATAGGCTTTTGTTTTCCAATTTAACTGTTTACTCAGTTTTAATTTTTGTTAAATAAAAAAATGCTTATTCTATTTTGCTATGTCCTATATATATTTTTTTCTATTATAAGTAGATATTTGGTTCGTTAAGTTACATTATGAAATTATATTATGAGGTTGTATCAACAATAGCAATGAAAATGTATGCTTGCACAATGCTTTTCACTTGAATATACAATATCAAAGTGGATGTTTAATTAAATAAGAGAAAGTTTCGTGCATGATTAAATACTTGTTAAGTTCACATTTGCTCGTAATTAGTTCACATTTTTTAAAGCATCAGTGATGAAATGTGTCACTGTAAAAAATATTTTAAATGCGGTTGCTTGTAACCAAATGTAATCCAAAATATATACGGGTAGACTCCGAAACCTTTGCTTCTTCTTCACTGAATCAAGTAATGTAAAATTTGAATGTAAAATAGTCGTATTATGTGCCCCACCTACGAAACAGTACAGTCAATTATTACAGTCTTAGTATTTTTATGTTATTAGAAATCTTGCGTTAAATAACAAGGGAATTTGCGAAATGATGTCTCAAACCGCATGATGATTTCATAATCAAGGAATGAGAGTAAACTCAAACTTTTCAAAGTACAATTTATCAGATAGTTATTAAAACAACCCATAAATGGCCAAAACAGCGCGTTTTTTTAAATTTCTACTCCGTCACCACTTCTTACTAGTTTTAAGTGCGTCCAAACATAAGAGAAAATTTTACCATATGTAATATGAGAAGTAAAACAGCAGACGCGCCGCGCCTCAGCCGCATTGTAGATCTGCAAACAAACAAACATTCGTAAATTTTACATAGAAAGTTCCAATGTTTAACTTTGCATGAGGAAAGTTTTACACGCACTGAATTCGTAATTTTATTATAGGATTTTTTTACTCGTGCTTTCCTTACATTGCGGTAAATAAGTCAATTGTATATACCACCAGATGACCGCCTCTGTAGCCGAACGGTTAAACGTATTGCCTAGCATTGCGTTATGTGCGATAGGTCCTGGGTTCGAATCTTAGGAAAACAAATTGTTTCGGTCAGGCAGGTCACAGCAGCCTGATCCACTACTTGCCTGTTAAAGAACGGATCAGTGAAACGGACACAGAAATGTTTTCGCTCCATGCCCCACGAGGGGGAAACGTGATTTTAATTCATATACCATTAGAGAAAATATGATAGAATTGAAAAATACATATGAATAAATAACTTCCTTTTTTAAGTCACTTAAAAATGCTTACATGTTATAAGTAAATATGGTCTGTAGTTTACGCGAGCAGTACACATTTAAATAAAATACAACAGTAATTAAAATAATTATAACTAATATATATCACGTTTTAAACCGTTTAAGTGTTTTATTTAAGAAAATATGAAAGGAAAAAAATTACTCCGCTACGAAACTTCTACAAGGTAGCTACGAACGGTCTACAAAGTGGCGAATAATTGCTCAATCACTATATTATAATGTATTTTATCTTAAGCTAATTGAAACTTATTTAAATATCAACTATTTTTTATTTAAGATGAATAATGTATTTCGCATTTAAAACCTTTTTTTTTTATGTTTATTAAACTACAGACAAGTTGTATTTTACTATTGTACACGCATATGTTGGCTATGACTTTACTGATATTGAAAAAGTTTGTGTGACTAAACATTAATTTATCTCCTTAACTTAATTCCTAAGATGTCTTGTATCTGTTTAAGTGATTATGTACTGGCCAATTTCATAATTAAACATACGACAAGTACAAAGTTATATCGCGCACATCACAACCGCGTTCCGACCATTCTCGACACGTATCAATTTCACTAGACCGTACTAAATGACTATTCTTAACAAGTGTAAGATATTCAGACGTCACAGTTTCCCGCCCTAGAGCGAGAAGTTACCCACGAATCAAATAAATAAATTATGTCTATTGTAGCTAGTGCCATACTTCTGAGATAACGGTGGGCTGTGAATGCGGCGAATTAATTATTTGAAGTTAGGTTTTACTTTTTATGCGCATTGCTTTCTATTGTATTGTCTTCGAGGTCGCGATTTATCTATTGTGTATTTTGTGTTTAATTATTTTGCATTCATAAGTTTTGTGCTTAGTAATTTACAACAAAGACATCTACTTCTATCATCTATCTTGTGTTTCGGAAACTTTGACAATATTAATATATAATATGTTAATTCTTCGAGCAATCGAGGAGTTAACATCTCCTGATGATGCCGTCCGCTCGTCATGGCGAAACGTGGATAACCTTATCTCGTTCACGTCGGCCGAACAGCCCGTAAGACAACGATATGCTGAACGATGGCCGTGAAAGCCTTACATAATTTATTAAAATTAATATATTTATACGAAGGAGAAATTACTTTGGGACAACTTACGTATATTGCGTTTTAAACCGTTAAAATGTTTTATTTAAATGCGTACTAGTCGCGTAAACTACACACAGTATATACCAATACATTTCCTTTTTTGGTAATTAAAATATTCTTTATATAAAGCAGATATATCTAGGTATTAACTTCTTCGAAGGCAGCTTGCAATATGAAATAAAATTTGATAACGCTACCCTTATCATAAACGAAACGAAAGGGCGGTTTAGTCCTCGTTAATGTTCATTTTCGCTTTTTGAATCAATCACAATTAAGAGCTTATTTTACATGTGTCGGACACGACTGCAAAAACAAAACGTTCGCCGCCTGCCAAATTTAATTGGCAGGAGTTGAAAAGTCGAAAGTAAAGGCGGCGTACACATCGGTTTTAATCACCGAATATTTTGGGCGTTTCTGTTTAACGGGTCCGATGTGGGTCGCTTGTAGGGGCCAGTTGACCGGGAGAAAGTGCCGGAACTCTTTGTAGATGACAACTTTTTGCCGTTTAACGTACGTTTCGCTGTTGTGTAATTATAGGGCGTGTGCTGATGCGTTGATGAATCGGATCGCAGAGACAGGTCGTTCATACATACTACATATTTTCATATATTTAAAGACCTTTTATTTAAATACTGTCTGTAGTTTACGCGAATAGTACACATTCAAATAAAACACTTTAACTGTCTAAGGCGCGATATATATTAGTTAAACTTATTTGAAAAATAGTTAAATTAATCTATATCGCAATTTAAACCGTTAAAAAGTAAAGCTTTTATTTCTTATTCGAGTTGTTGAAACCTACTGGGTAGCAGAATTGACAGTCTTGACCGTACTGTTGGCGGGCTTGTAGTTATGGTAGCAATGTATGGCAATCAATCAACGGGTCGTGGGTTAGATCCCCACTGGCTCCAACATTTTTCTTATTGATTAATAATTTTTCTGAAACATATTAGATTTTGTCTGGAAATCTAGTATAAGAGGATTTTAAATGGATGGCATCGACCCTTCCGGGTAAAGGAACAACGCGCGTTTGGGTTTCAGTTTGTGGATTTCCAAATATCCGAAGCCAATTTTCTGTACATGATCATTTAATAGACGGAAACTTTTAAACCGGTTGATTATAAAAGGATTTTATAGTCATCGCGCGACATTAATGTCTTAACATATAAAAAGCTATAAATTTAATTAATAATTTTATAGCTTCATTTGTTGACCACCCACCGTGCGATACTCACCTTTCAGCGTCCAATTATCTTTTAAAAAAGTCCGAACTTAGCGAATTTTTAACTTTGATTGTAGTTACTTAGTGTAATGGTAGCATATTAAATACTAAAATGTATTTTTAGATATATCGACCTCAGAAATATCACACACTCTTGAAATGTTTTATTCTAGAAGGTATTTTTATCGTATATTGTACAATTAATTAAATATAATGTTTGAAAACTTAATTATTTTTCACTTGTTATTTGCACATGAAGGCACTATATAATTGAGCTCTGAACGGAACGCCGACGATGCCGGTTCAAGTCCTGCCAGAGTGGAATTTATTTTTGATTTTGATAATATAATGTTGTTTAATACATAATGTTATAATTTAACTTAATAGTATATTTTTGGAGTATGTTATTACATTTACAAGCTTCATAATACAAAAATGATAATTCTGTTTTGCACTAGTGGGGCATGAACATATCTTTTTCCGTATTACTGATCGATTGATATCCAGGGGCAAGTTGTTAGACTTCTTTGCCCTGTCGTACTGAAACAATTTGTTTCAGCGAGACCCGAACCCAGCACCGTTCGTGCTTAACCCAGTGCTTCGTAATTAACCATTGAATTACGGAGGCGGTCATAAGGATAATTATTAATAAGTAAAATGATAAATACTGTCTATAGTTTACATTTAAATAAAATACTTTAACGGTTTAAAGCGCGATATATTAGTTAAACTTATTTGAAAATGGTTTTTAACTTCGGCTCGACGTTTCGGATGCTTTGCAGCAGCTGTGGTCACGGGGAGACTCACGGTCACGGTCACGGTCTCCCATGACCACGTTAAAGTGTTTTATTTAAAAGTAAAATGTTAATTTAAATTCCATGTTAAAATAGAGAAAGATAGGGGTCTACTGACTACTACTTTTATATGAAGATAATTTATACTAGAGTAATTGGACCATCAATCCATGAATACTATTCAAATCACATAACGATTATTCACGTTCTTTGGATCGTAATGACGCATTATATCATTTGTGTAACGACTTTTACTAAGTACGTGATATAAATATTGTTAGTATTATATAAATGATTAGTTAACATCTTTAACTAATCATTTATATAATACTCCTTATAAATATACACATACAAACGTTAACTAAGATAACATATTTTTGGCGCATTGATTTTGATCTAGCTATATAGCTTTTTAATAATCTATTTTTTTTTATTATACTATTATTTTTTAATAGGTTTGTTATAAAAACAACGAATGCTTTTAATAGTGTAGTCTACATTTAAATAAAACACATTAACGGTTTAACTTGCGTTATATATTAATTAACCTTATTTGAAAATTATTATAACTATGGCCCGATCCGAAACGTCGAGGCGTAGTTAAAATATTTTAAAGTCGGTTTAACTAATATAAATCACGTTTTAAAGTGTTAAAATGCTTTATTGATATATGTACTACTCGCGTAAACTACCGACAATATTTAGTGTAGTATGGTGGCAGACCAGTTTTCAATATGAATGATAAACAAAAAAATAAATTTAAAAAATATGAACGAAATATTGTAATACAAATCTTTTTTTCTGTCGTTACCTTTATACTGGGGTCCGCCTCTCACTTTCACTTGGCTTTGACCTAGACATGAGATTCATTGAAAATTCTCTTAGCGTATTTCTTAACAAAATTTATGCTTGAAAATTCGATGTTTAAATAGTCTTCATATAAATTGTAGCTTTTATTACAAATAAGAGGTTGTATGTGTTGTGTTTAATAACTTGTAAAAACTAAATTATTATCAGAAGTGATTAACGAATGACCTTCATCTCTTTGAAAACTTTAATATTTTTCACATGTAATTTAAAGTGGTATAATGTATAATAAGCTAATTTTTTTATTTATAATCGTTCTTTAAACCATCATACCTTCCGACGATTCCCATAGTTGGGAATGGCATGCTTACAATCTATCACGTGGCCAATGCTAGGCGAAACTGTGATTTTAAAACTATAAAACATTATTGTTTTCTATATTGGAAATAAAGCTTAAGATGAACACAAATATTTTGAATTAAATATCAATTATGAATTTAAAAAATATTACGACACTGGCAGGACTTGAACGGGCATCCACAACGTTCCATGCTGTTGCTTTAACCAATTGAGCTATTGGTTAAAGCACGGAACGCTGTGGATGTCGTATTTTTTTTTCAATTGAAGACATGTGAAAAATAAAAAGTTTTGAAACAAATATTTTTGTTGAACCCTTGATAGGAAATAGGGTGCAAGTCCGTACGACGCGATCTACTCGCCTCTCGATAACTCATAATAAAACGAATTATTCCTAGACACGATTAAGCACTGCACTTACTACGTGACTAGACAGTACGCAGACAGCTAGGTTGTATCTAAGAGCAAATCTTGGGGTCGTTGTACTTACAATTGATAGTGAGAGTAAGCGACAATGAAACGAATTCAGGCGAGGCATTATTTGTAAGCTATAGGCTTAATAATGCTTCGCCAGGCGACATAATAGAGGTCTTATTTGGTACTTAGATTACGAAATCGATATTATTTATCTTACATTCTCCATGGTTCAATGGTTGAAGGGTGTGAAGCTTCTGATTCGCAACATGAGGAAATTGAAATGGTGAAACAATTAATTTCGAAGTCCAAATTGATGAAGAATATTTATTGCAATAAAACACATCTACTGATATATGTTAGTTAAACTTATTTGAAAATTATTTTAATTATGTCCCGACGTTTTGGTGACATAATTATTATATATTTAATTAATTGTATTATATTTAAAAATATGTATATACATTAATTTTCAAATGATATTAACATATAAGTACGTAAGTATATGTCGTTGGCGAAATTCTTGTGACGTCTATTAAAGACGACAAATATGTAAGTTCAATAAGCCGCATCGTGAACGCAAATAAAACACACCTAAATGAAAGCGCTTCTTATTTACACTTTCACCAGACGACGATAGGATCAAGAGGATGAGGCCATGTGTGCGAAAGAGAAAGATCAAATATCGCCTACAAACAAACGAGACGGAATGTCATGGAATCGAACTTGACAGATACGTCCGAATTGACAGCTGAGCACGGTCGATAACCCTTCACGATTTGACGTTTAATTAGCGTCAAGCTCATTCTATATTTACTGTACACGAGTTAAGTACTGTCTGTAGTTTACGCGAGTAGTACACAAATAAAACACTTTTGACGGTTTATATTGCGAAATGTATTAGTTAAACCTATTTACATATTATAATTTATAAACTATTTTCTTTATTATATTTCGTGTTTTAAACCGTTAAAAGTGTTTTATTCAAATGTATCTTAAGAGGACTTAAATTTCACGCGAATTCCGAAGTTTTGACATTATGCATGAAAACCGTAAACTTGAGTTATGTCGAGAAGTTACATATATTAGTTAATTTACCACTTCAATTATTAAGAATAGATATTGTTTATAATATTATTTTGCATAAATAAAATCATAAAAAATCTCCTTAAATATGTATATAATGGCTATTTTTAACAGTAAGAATATACTGCAATCTTAAAGCCAATTGTAATTAAATACTCACAATTGTCACGTGAATTGTTTTACAGCATAATTATTTTTTAAATCAATCTTTAGAATTTATATTTTTATATTATAAACGGTCCTTAAATTGTCAGCCGACATGTTGTTATTAGATGTAAAGCTAAAAATGATGGCAGTATTAATCCAAATAAGACTAAGAATGTCCAAAATCTATTACTCCAATCGTAATTCCAAAACTCTAGAAACTTGTTCGCAATCCTGATAAGAATGTCGTGAGACTTTTTCACCTCCGGCATACATAGATGAGCACAAATTGATGAGTTATCCATGTACGTCAAAAATCGAGCATCCCGATTCTCATATCGCTTCATTCACAGACAATCCCAGGAACTAACAGTCGGCGCTAATTACCGTAGACAATGCAAGCCCACATGCTTACGTTGGGAATCTGTAGTGTCGTAAACCCACTTACAGAGACCTGCTGGCACACATAGATAGGGTCATCTCCGGTGCTTAGAATACCACGTGTTGATCTTGTCCTATATAACGTATTGATCAATGCTGTAATAGATAGAAATTTCTAAACAACGTAGGTAAAATAAACTATACTAATATATAAAGCTTAAGATTTATTTTGTTTGTTTGAACGCGCTAATCTCTGGAACTACAGGTTCGAATTGAAAAATTATTTTTGTGTTGGTTAGAGTATTTATCCAGAAAAAGGCTTTAAAACTAGCATGAGCGAAGAAATAGCGGAAAATGTCGAAAAACCGGTGGAAATGATTCA